GTGTGTGTGTGTGTGTGTGTGTGTGTGTGTGTGTCCAGGGCTACTACACAGAAGCAGAAGCCAATTGGTTGTTACTGTTGGGAAAGTTAAGCTGGGAAAAGAAAACCCTAACACCAACATACAGTTGCTCCGGAGACTCAGTGAGGCTGAGCTCTATCAAATTCCTCCAACACTCTGTGAATTCAGGGATTTCTTCTGATTTTGCTTTCGCCACTAGCATTTATTTCAGGTCCTCAACAGCATCCCTGCCTGTCTTAAATGTAACTTATGCCATCTGCTGCCACCTGGCTTCTTATTCTTTCAGAGTATGACCCTTTACATCTGCCATGTCTAGGAAATTCTACCCGCTCCAACATCCCAGTTCTCAGGATGACAGAGACTGTTTTGCCCGCCACACCTACCTGCTCCAACTTCTGCTGCCGCTTTAACAGTTCGATTTCCAAGTCAGATTTCTTCTTTTGTGCTTCCTCTTCCTTCTGCTTTATGACTTGGTCCCGCTTTCTCTTTTCCATCACCTTCTGCAATTCTGGCTTATTCTGAGGAGCAAGACCCCTACAAAAGGAGAATTAAGAAAGAAAAGTAACCAAATGGATGCACCTTTCATGAATATAAATATAACCGAAGGGATCAGCCACAGAAAAAAGATCTATGAATTAGCACAATATGACAACTACCGTTACGCTAACTGGTTGACAGGCAACACTGGAAAATTCGCCCACGGGGAAGAGAGAGGAAGTGCATCTTGCCCAGAGTTGGTAAAATCCACCCGCTCAGTGACGAGGCACGGAGCATCACTGTGTGCGAGGCACCAGGCTCCGCAAAGCGGGGGGAGGGCGCAGGATGCGCGGGCCAGGTGGGGAGCAGGGCACCCACCGCAGAGATGAGATGCTCAGGACACGAATGGCTCCACACGGAGTCATGGGGAGGACGCCCAAGATCCTCTGATCTCGGACACTGAATGCAGCCTGGACGCAGGCGGGCACAGAGACTCAGACAGCAAAATGGCCTGGAAACCTCATCCCACCCTGCATTTCTCAGACCTGAAAGAGGATTCTTATAACCAAGGACCTGCCATTCCTCAGGGGCACAGCCTCACAGAACGCCCACCTCCTAACTGCCAGTCCAGGGCTCGTTCCGCCTGCCTCAGCTCAGAGGTAGTTTATCATTTACAAAACATGGAAGTTTTACAAAACATGGAGGTTTCAGGGAAAGCCTCCAGTTCTGAGAGAGGTCAGGTGGCCATTTCAACAGCAGGGAGAACAAAACAGAAACAGGCCTCCGCTGGCAGCCCACAGCGTGTGCAGCAAGTCGAGGGCAGGCGCCAGCACTTTTCCCAGCGTTTCTGTCTGTGTCGAATGCCAGCTCAGGCTCGCCTCTGCTCCATTCCCCTTGCCACTGCTTTAGTATCCTCCAGACTGGGCTTTCCAGGACGCTGGACGAACCTGCCTACCTCTTCCTTATTGTCGTCCATAATTATTAACTCTATCCAGACTCCACCAGCCATAAGTAATTTCAACTTGAAGGTAAAGTTTATGACGAGCATTTAAAATAAAAATGCAACAACCTCAGGATGAAAGCCGCACTGTGGACCCTGAGCGGCACGGGGTGTGAGCAGGGGCTATGTGCACACACGCAGGCCAAGGGCACCCCTAGACCCCGCTCCTGGCACCGGCACCTGCCCCTGCCTAGGCTACTGTGGGGGTGTGCCAGTAACCGTTCTCCCAGCTACGCCAACTGACACAAATGACTCGCTGATCAGGAGGAAGCTCAACAAGTGCTCAGTCAAATAGCAATTTCCAAAATTTGTGCTCTGCTTACAAGAAATTCAATCACACCTACTTCAACTCCTTTCAAGGTCACATGACCCCACCTGTAAACTAATCCTCCATTTCATACTTCCTCAGTAATTTAGAATTGTTTTAAATTCTGGTATTTCTTCTTCCTAGGTGTTTTTTTAAAAGTCATGATTAAAACTGCTTTCAAAGTTGTTTACAAAGCAGAGATTAGTACATTCACCCTCTGATGATAAAAACTAGAGTTCCAGAATAACATAATATTTTTACTTTCCTGATGTTCAATAGCAGACTTCTTGGTTAAAAATAAATTTGGTCAGGTTTCCAAGGAAGTAGATGACTTTTATGATTTAATTATGATTTGCTTTGCAGTTATCAAAACCATACACGGGTACAAAGGAACAGACAAAATAGGAAATTAAAACTTTAATCAGCACAATAAACGCTATGAGTCAGTACTCTAACTGTTCAATTGAAAGTGCCACTAACCATGGGAAAGTTTGTTTTTAAATAATCTGAGTAAAGACCTCAGTTTTATGAGTATTAAAAATCTTCAATGTGGCACTACAGACAGAATTCAGGGAATTAAATTTCAGAAATAAGACTGTTATTTGAATAATTTAAATTTCAAACATTTGTCCTTCTCTATATTTCGCCGGCAAAATTAACTTCAACTACTGTTAAATTCTTCCGGACTATGCAGAAGCCGTACATTTTTGATTTATGACCCCCTAAGCTGGCAGTCCGCTGCAGGGGATGAGCGGGCTTAACTACCACACAGTATTCATTTTCTGCTCAAACTTCACATAACAGCAACAGCAAGATAAAATATTTAGGAACACAAAACTCAAGAAAATGCTGCTTCTATGAAAAATGTCCTGTACTTGTAGCAGTCAAGCAATCACGTAAGTTAAAATTTTATCACGGGGATCAGCTAATTTCCTGTGCTGCACTGGGGAAGCTAAGCACGGCCGGCGTGTGTCTCCGGAGCCCACGGCAGCTCAGGCTGTAGAGACGGTGTGGACGACAGCACGAGCTTCTCCAGCCTCCCCAGTGACTACAGTATTCCCCCTTGCACAGAGCAGCTGATTCTCTCTGGATGGTCCTAAACACTAACAAGTCCCTGACCCGATCAAGTCCTGGTAGCTTCCTACTCCCAAGACCAGCAGATTCCCAGGTCTGCCGTGTGCTCAGGGAGCTACCTGTGACTACGGCAGTGGGCCGAGCCAATCTCAAACACTGTGTGTGGTAAAAACAAAATCAGGTGGCTATCTGTATCTGCAGAGTTTAAAAACGTGAACGATGAGAACACCATTCACAGTGCAGTCTATGCGGTGACGGCCCCGGCAGAGGCCACACACCCGCACCAAGGTAATGGAGAGTCAGTCCACATTCCTCTCCTTCACATCGCAAAACACCTCCCAGTGCAGAAATCCTCTAATTCTGTCCCTTCCCCACGGAGGGGCCTTTGCTTCCGATTTTTCACTATTAAACACAAGGAGGCAGTGAACCTCTGTGTACATTTACATCCTGCTCTTGCACCAGAATTTCTGCTGGCTAGCTGCACAGAAGCAGGACTGCTGGCTAAGCATCTGTGCACATTACATTTTGATGAGTCCTGCCAAAGAGCCCTCCAAAAGACTGCAGCAATTTCAATCCCCACCGCTAGTGCATGGAATGTGCACCCTGGAGGGAATGTTTCACATGATACACAAACCCCTGAGCACACAGAGGGCCTCCTGAAAGCTCCACATTCCTCCTGCCTCCACCTGAACACCAAGCACACTTAAAGCCCTATGTACGAAGCTGCCTCCTCACCTGAGATAGCAGCGGCCAGAGGTGGGTCAGCGCTCAAGCCACCGCAGGACACATTCACCTGCCCACCCGGCCAAACCCCCCACTGCCTGATATTTAGGTGGGTAGGGCTGAGAATATGGACGCATCTGGATTTCAGGCCTTGGTCTTTAATTCTGCAATCTTCTAGTTTGGCCTGCATAACCTACATTTTTGGTTTAGCCATTTTTACCTGCACGGATTCAAACAGAAATACTTCTCTGCAGCATCACTACAACTTCCCCTCTTTCTCTATTGTCCGACAGCAGGTATTTTTGGAAAACTATTTCTCTAAGGCATTTCAGAAAGGTCAACCAACAATGCAGGGAGCTAGAGAACACTGACTTAGAAATGTACAAGCCAAAGAACAAATTTTACGGATGTGTTTAAATAACTAGCTTACTTATTAAAAAAATTATTCTTTATAGAGGACAGACTCTCCCTACGTTGGAAATATTATTTTCTTAAACATCTTTTCAATACTGGTTTCAACTACCAAAACTTAATGCTTCTAAACGCTTTTGAAATTAGTCTTCTTATGCTGCTGAAAAGGGCATCTCATACAAAAAATGAGAACCAGACAAAGATCCTTAACACTCACAGCTAGTTGTTAATGTAATCAAGCAGACGTCCAACGACCTTTAACATGAAACTTAGCCAGGTCCAAAAAATGGCTAACAGAGGAGCGAGTACTACATGCCTGCAAGAGCGCGGGGTCAGTCAGAAGATCTGTGAGTATTTGCCGTCCTAAGCAGGGACTGCTTTTATCTTAAGGTCTCCAAAGAGTAACTTGAAAAGCAATGAACTAACTGCTGCAGACCTTGAGCTGAATGTGCCGTTCTGCAGGGCAAAGGTCAAGTCTCCAGGAAGCTTGTGTGGGGGGTCTCATTCTCCCCCTTCACTTCCTCATTCCATTTTCTAATTTGTACTGCTACTGTATTTACTTCTATAAATTGCTTTCATCCTGTGTTTATTTCTATTCTTTTTTATTCCAAAAAAATTGCTGCACGGTCTCAAGAAAATTCCTCAACTTATTCTGAGTTTTCCCTAAGTCACATTTCAAGGTGGGATAATCCCAAGAGACACGCTGGCTTACTGGAAAGATCACTGGGTAAGATAAAACATGCACGGGTCCCTCATAAATGGCCAGGGACAGCAGACTTTCATTATCCGGTGAACCAATACTCAACACTGGCTGTACTGAACCACATGTGTGTGACGTAATTTATTTGGCACTAAAGTTTAGAAACAAAAAACTGACAGTGTCTCAAAGGTATAGTACACGAGATATAAAGACAAAGAAAAGAAATTGCTTGAGAAGTTTTTACCCTAAAACCAGTTACATTTCTAACCAAGATTCTACCAAGTTAAGATTTTGCCTTGAAAAATCAGTTTACGCCTTCAACGTAGAATGAGACACATTCCTCTCTTTTGACTATGAAATTTGCCTTTTCTTTTATTCCTTTCAAAATGTACCTCTAGACAGACAAGAATCTCTCAAGGAAAACGGGTAAAGCAACAGGAGTCTCCCATGATGCACATGGGGAGCAGCGAAGGTGCCTGACGGGTCATCCCACGCCAGCAGTTTCATGCGTGTTTTAATCCCTCCTATCAACTTTACAGGAACGATCTCATTTCCTCGCACTTCACAGATGAAGAACCAGGTATCAAGAAGGGCACCTCGGTCAAGATCAGAAGGCAGGTCAAGCTAAGTGAGCCAGGACTCGTGTCCTTTCTGTAATTCAAAGGCCATGTCACCGTAGTGCCGAACTTTGAGAGACCAAGTGCCCAAAATGCAACCCAAAGCCCACTTACTTACCACCAAGCGCCACCGCCTCAATTACCCCTGCACACGGGCTGCTGGGCTGTGGGGGCAACGTGGCTCCCGCAGGAGTGTGCCCACTGCAGTGTGTGTGCCCTGGGTTCACCCCTGCGGGCACACCCTTTGCACACCGGTACTTCAGGGAAAGCCTGTGCTGTCCCGGAGTTATAGGGCTGGCGCTGCCTGAAGTGTTCACTGTGTAAGGAAAGGAAAGGAAGACTGGGACATAGAAAGGCAGACGGGAGAAAGGAAGGTCTTCTGCTAGAAAACTTGGGGACAGACGCCATCACACAGATCTGAATGATCTGCAGTGATATCCACACTGTTAATTATGTCTTATAGAGCAGCTGGTAGCCTATCATTCAAAGAGCAAGTATTCTACAAAATTTGGTTTGGTTTTAGCCTTTACTCTGACTTGGAGCCTTTCCACACACTTCCTGGGAAAAGGGCAGTTCGAGCTAAAATAGCGCTTAGAGTTCAACTGAGCGCCCCGCTGATAAGACAATGGAGGCCCACAGGGAGACAGAAAACCTGTAAGTCATAGCTGCTTCCGTTCTGGAGCCTCCTAAACTGAGGCAGACATAGGTTCCTGAATTTTGACTGCTTTCCAATTCTGCAGTCTATTTAAGAAAGTACACTGTCCTGCTTTGCTTTGGATGTAAGAATACCAAATCCACATATTCTTTTTTCTGCTATGCAATACAGACAAGTGACAGGTACAAGCTAAATCACTAAAATGATTAAACTTGCATTCAATTTAATAAATGTTAATTATTAAACTGATGTTCCTTGTCCTAGGAACAAGTACAATCCCGAAATCTAGAAGGAGATGCATTTACAAAGACTTCCTGGGCCATGAGTCACTAGATCTGTTAGTTCTACAAGGCAGGAGTGTGCTCTGAGGGAGAATCGCCTTGAGAATGCCCCCAACCTTCTTTTCATTCAAAAATTTTTAATCTGCTCAAGATCGCACAGTAGGGTATAAGTAAGCCCAGGATTTAAGGCAGTTTATAGAGAGAAACGTTGAAAAACGTAAGTGCGGACAGGGAGGGAGGATGAGACCGGCACAAGCAAGCTTTCTCTGGATACCTGACCTTTGCTCTGCAGCTACAAACTCGGCTTCCACAACTGCCCGATGCTTAACTTGGTCTGCGAGTCTTGGACCTTCCCACAGCGGCCTAGCACTGCGTGGGAGGACACGTGAGTTCTAAATAAAATCTCCTTGTCCTTAAACAAGAGTAGCCTTGCACCCTCAGCCGTCTGCCCTGCCTCATGCCAGCTCCGCTCACTGCTGAAACAGCGCTAACGGCAGCTGCAGCTGCTGCAGGGACGAGGCCGCCGGAGGAAGCCCTAGCTAAACACTCCCTGAAGCATTATAAAGACAACCACAATTCATCGTAGCTATCTTAAAAATCCCGAAAGGAAAACTGCTCAAGAGAGCACCTCACCTTTTTTGATTCATAAGGAGCTCTCTGTGAAGATCCTGGTGGTTCCGGGACGTTTTGACAGGGTTGACCAGTTTCTGGGGTCTGATCAGCTCAGGGTTGTCATCGTCCAGGTAGTCTGGCTCGGCCATGATGTGTCTTGGGATGAGAAACGAGTCCTTGGGGTCACTGTCCTCAAGCGGGCTGTCTGAAGCGGAGAACGGAGAGATGCCATCATGAGGTCTGCTCTGCTAAGACCTGGCACAGGTGCAGAGGGGGTGCCACCCCCGACCCCTGGGAGGTGCTGTCTGCCGGGCCCACTCTGCGGACGTCGCTGAGCGGTCTTCCCCAGTGTTTAGGAAGTAACTGGGGAGCCCAGGAGAGGAGGGGGCTGCTTTCCTCTGTGCTGCCGGTATCCAGAGCAGAGGAGCCCTCTGACTCCACTCGGTCGCTGCCCCTCACACCCTGAGTTCCGGTCACAAAGACGCTCCCTGCCACCACGTCTCAGGGGCAAGCTGGCGGTGAGCAGGAGCACGTGGGTACCGGCCCCAGGGCTTTCCTGCCTCCTCAGCCGCAGCACACAAATCGGCCCTGAAAACACACGAGCCAAGAGCTGGCCTGGGAAGCGCACGGATGGAAGAGCAGAGAACAGAAGCGAGCGGGGAGGAGAAAGAGCCACATCAGAGCGGATCACAGCTCACTCTGCCACTGTCCCCAGCTCCGCGTCCCGGCGGCACGGCTGTACTTTTATCACAAATTGCATCCCGACACCGGGTACTGCTCCCTACGGTGTCTGATCAGGTGTGGCGGAGTCCAGCTATCCCTGGACAACCCAGGATTCAGGGAAACATCCCTGCTGACTTGGAACCCCAAACTCCTGCTTTCACTTGAGGTGATCAGAAACTGTGCAAAGTAGCAGCCGACCTCGGTTACCCAGTGCTTTGGATACGGCGCCTGTGGGTACGGACTGGAGCCCACACTGGACCCGAGCAGCAAGCCTCTCAATAAAGGAACGAGAATCATCACAACGAAACGGGCACACAAAATTTACACTGACAGCAGCATAAAGCTAAAACTAAAGTGAGTGTTCTGATCCCAGAACCTGTGTCCTCTCCACCACACTGCAGCACGTAACATTTTTATGCAGTACCTTTTGAAAATTAATGTGAAAACAAAGAGAAAAAAATTGAAGGAATAAGGCGACTAAGAAGAACTACTGCATCGTTTGTTTGAATTCTTGAAATATCGCTACCCACGCAAGGCTCAGAGTTACCAAACGACAAGGAACAGATGACCAAGTTCCCCAAACCTCCTTACGTACTTGTCCGCACGGCTCCCGTAAGCGAGAATGTGCAGCCCTAGCCCCGTGGAGAGCAGCGAGCCCTGCACGTGGCGAGCTGGCGGGCCCCGCACAGCCGCTGCCCCACAGGCTCTGCGGTGTGCACTGCCCAGCGAGGACGCCTCAGAGGCACTGTGCACACCTCTGGGCAGCTGGGACAGTCTACAGAGTCCACAGCAGTTTCATTCTAGTTAATCAGTAGACACAGGAGGCCCCACGCTTCCATAAAAGGAGGTGTTTCTTGGCCCAAACCACCGATAGCTCCAAAATACCAATTCAACAGAAGAGCGCCTCTGAAGGTCAGTGCACAATGGGGCAGATCTGAATAGGACAGCAGACAGGAGTGGCCACTGCAGCACCCCGCTGAGTGAGGTCCTAAGGCAGGACGACAGACTAGCATTTTCCGGACTTCTCTACAGATTCAGCTCCTTGGAATTCTTCCTCTGGACTGCGGGTTTACATGGGCCTGCGTCCACCTCCTGCTAAGAAGACAGAGGAGCAGGGAGGGCGCTGCTGGAAATGCAGGAGCAAACGCGTCCCTTGTTCTGTTTCCTGGCTTGCCCTTCACAGCTGGGCCTGGGGAAGGGCCCGGAAGCCACAGCCTGAGCGCGCTGTGCAGCCCTCGGGCTACCTGGGGACTGGGCGGCAGGATGCAGCCACTCCCGCTGCAGCAGAGCGGAGTGCACCGGAGCCCGGGGCAGGGGACTCGGGAGCAAGGGAGGGAGGCGGCCGGGGCAGCCCTCTGCGCGCTCTGTGTGCCCCAGCGGGGCCCTACGGGATCTGGGATCTGGGCTTTGGCCACTCCCAGTGGCTCTCCACACTGAAACCGTGATAGCACAACCGCCACCCCAGCGACCCCGCTCATCTCCGTTCCCTCTGCCCACCTTCCTGCCCGTGCCATCCCCCGGGCGCAGCACAGCCTAAACGGACCTCCGTCTCCGTGCCCATGCTCTGCCTAGTGAAGTACCCAGCCGTGCTCCCAGCACGATCTGTCTCCGCCTCCCTCTCGCTGCACGCGGGCCCGCACCGCTCCCTCCACGGGCACGCGGGCCTCTCCCTTCCCTCCCCGCTCTCCAGAGCCAAACCTCACTCGCCCCTTCGGAGCCAGGTGAACGGCAGAGCTCCCGCAAAGCCGTCCCTCGTGCACCAATGAAATACAGTTTCTCTGACCTCTGACATCAGAATTTTCTGTTCCTTTTCCCACAGTCATTGATTTATCACCTTACATTTCGGCAATACATACCCTAAATTTAAGACTTAAGTCTTAATACGTATATACGTGAAGGAATGCCTTCAATGCAAAGACTACATCTGGTTTACCTTCGCATTCCTCAGCCCCCTTGGATTTCTTTGGTGAACATTACTTAAGTGCAGTAACAAAGCAGGGGAGCCCCTGAGCCGGATCTGCATCATGGGCAGAGGCGTGAGCTCACTGAGCACCAGGTAACCCGGAGCCGAGGTAAGGCAGGGCGGACATGTCTGGAAGTGAGATCCCTTGAAGGATATCATTGCATGAAACAGCTCTTCCAGAAGTACACACGTTCTGGTCACACTGCCACTACCGGCCACATCACTGACCCACAAGGAAAAAGCTTTAAAGTTATCAAGTCAATGAAAGAAAACCAGTGAAGGCTCAGCGAGGGAGGAACAAAACCGGCTTGATAGCTTAGACAAAGGTTAACGTCCCTGAACCTCAGTTCCCTGCCTTTAGATGAACAGTGTAAGAACCGACCGAAACGTATGTACATCTAAGTACTCCGTATAATCCCTGGCAACTACAGGCACACTCAATAAATAGAACTATTATTGGCTAAACTATGTTACCAAGATGACTACATACCTTATTTAGAGGCCTGAGTAACCTTATACACAAACCTCTATTTCTCTAGGCCTTGGTTTCTTCCAAAACATGAGTTCAACTGAATGACCCACCGACCTTGTCACCAGTACACTCAATGGTTCTGTGATTCTTCCATGCTGCAAACATAAGAACCTTCTTGAGCCAGATGGGGTGCTACATCCTGTAATCCCAGCACTCTGGGAGGCTGAGGCAGGAGGATCACAACTTCAAGACAAGCCTAGGCAATCTAATGACTTAGCAAGACCCTGTCTCAAAATGAAAAATAAAAAATGAGCTGGGCATGTGGCTCAGTACAAAGGCCCTGGGTTCAACCTCCAGTACTGGGGGTGGGTGTACATTTGGAAAGTATGAAATGGTTCCTCACCCTATCTGTGAGCAACATGGAATTCTAGTGGCTCCTCTCAGAGTCTAGGAGTACAGCAAGAAATCAGACAGAGCCTCTTGTGCCTTGCTTCAGCAGAGGAGCTCCCTGAAAGAGTTTAAGCGGTGGAACACTAGCAGAAAATTTCATCTTAGACAAACACTTACAGCATCCTGAAAACGCCAGTTGAGAATTCTGCATCTAATTTCCGCTAATCAACAAATAGAAGCCATTATTAAATGAACCCAAAGGATAAGGAAATCCCATCCTTGCAGACAGATTTTGAGTCCGTGTCTTCACCCCTCTAAAGACTCATTTTGGGACCTCTGTCTAACCCAGGCGTTTGTGTTCTTTGCTTTCTAGAAGTAAATAACCATTCCCAACGAACATTTTCACAACTGGACTAATAAAACAAATATTCACTGCAGCCAAGTTTCTCTAACATATATTTTTGGCAGAATATACACACATTTCTACACGAAACATGAAACTGAAAAACTAATCCTGGGGCTGGGGATTTAGCTCAGCGGCAAAAGCGCCTGCCTGGCAAGTGCAAGGTCGTGAGTTCGGTTCCCGGTACCAGAGAAAAACCGAAAAAAAAAAAGAAAAACTAATCCTATGAGACTGAAAAATCAGATTTTAGAGATTATGCTAATTTTCATGTTTACCTAAATATTAAAAATCAAATCATACCTACAAACACTAATACTTAAACCCTTTTAAAACAGCCAGCCATTACATGGCAATACATATAGCTTAAAGGTGTACTTACTGTAACCAGTAAATGCTAAAGAATTAAACTCCCGAACTGCTACAACTCATGGAAAGCTCGAAGTACTCCAACGCATTCCTTCGGGAATCTACTGCTCAGGCTCTCTCAGAGCCTCGGGCAGCCTTCGGCAAGTCCCTGAGAAACCACAGCTCAAGATCATAGGCTGGCAAACCCCAGCCCTGGGTCGGCCTGAAACGGGGTAGGCTCTTCTTGGATCCAAAGCAGTCTCCTTTTGCACCCTGAGTTCCCAGACAGGTACGAGAATGATTTAAAACAAGTATCTCTCCCAAATAGCACTGGCTTCACCTAATAACTCCCTCACCTCCTGGCCTGGAGGCAAACCTAAAAATTCGGTCTTGGATCCAGACAGTGACATGATTTGCATTCAAAACATCTGAAAAATGCTCAGGGAGCCTTTGTGACCACAAAGCTCACACACCAACACTTAGAAAAGGCATCCTGGCAGAGCACATCGCACAAGGGCAGAAATGTCATTCTGTCATATTTTGCCAAGTCTCACAGCTGCATAGCAGTGACCCTAAAGATTCCAAAGCATTCATTTAAAACAACAACGTCTTAACAAACTGGATCCCAATATGCTTTTGTACAAATCCCAAGCAGTGACGTTCTTGGGAAAATATCAAACTAATTTTCTCATCACTTTCTCATCCCCCAAAAATGTATTTTCACATCAGGCACATATTCCTTATTTAGAAAACGGAGAAGGAAGGACCAAGACAAGAAACACCCAGGTCAAGAGAAGCTGGCCGGGAAGGTGGGGCTGACCAGTAGGTGGCGATGGTGGCACAAAGATCTGGGTGTCCGGAGCTAGACCACCGAGTCCCCGGTAGCCCAGAGCAGAGCCGGATGCCCCT